TCTTTCCTAGAATAAAACGTCTATCGTACTTATCTCCCCTTCTTTCTTATGTTTGTTACTCTCTTGTAACACCTCTAATCTTCTGGCGCTCATATGACTTTATGCCACTGCGTGCGCTGTAAAACCTCTACTAAAAAAAAAAGTTAAAATCATTATAAATTTATGTGAAGTAAAGCAAGAGAGAGTCCTGCAGAGATTTTGTTCAAAGCTTTGAAGCCTGAATTTGTTTCCACTAAAAATTATTTTTCTATTGTGAAATGTTAGTAACACTTTTAATTCTCTATCCACTGAGCATTTTATAAAAAGTGTTCACAATATTGAGATGGCTGTTCTTTAGCCTAAAAAAATTCGATAAAGTGAATTCTGAAATCTAGTTGGATTTGTCAAGAATGTGAAATCTGTTGAAGCTTAGTGCGGTCTTTCTGACTTGGCTAAGTTGGTTTTTAATTTGCTGGTGTGGAACTTGCCCCCTTTTTTTTTTTTTTTTTTTGTTGTTGTAGATAATGAGTTGGAAATACGGTTGGGTTGTGGTTTTTTTCGTGTGTGTTGTTTGTTCGTTGTTGTTGTTTATTTTTTTGGGGGGGGAGGGGGGGATGGATGATTTCATCTCATTTCTAGCATGTAGAATTAGTTGCACCTTACATCTCCCGTGGGTCGTTTGAGTTGGTGGCAAGGATGCCAGGGTGCCCCACAGATGTATGTATGTACAAAACTGCCAGAGTTTGTAACTAACTGTGGTTCCTTCCCCAGGGTCTGCACAGTGCCAGTGTTCCTGGCATCCTGGCCATTGACTTGTGCCTCAGAGACACGTCTCGCCTCGTGACGGGCGGGAACGACAAAAACGCTGTCGTGTTCAACAAAGACACAGAGCAGGTCATGGCCATTCTCAAGGGTCATACGAAGAAGGTCACAAGTGTCATCTACCATCCAGAGGAGGTAAGATTTTTTTTTGCAAGTCTTTTGGTTCAGCGGCGGTGGCGGAGCGGTTAGTGCGCTCGTCTCCAAAGCGGAAAGTCCAGGTTCGAGCCTCGGTTTGGACACTGATTTTTTAGGCCTCCCCCCCCCTCCCACCCAGTAGTAATGGGTACCTGACTTCGAGTTGGGGAGGTAAAGGCGGCATGGAAAGGAACTGGCCACCCTACCACAACATGCGGAAGGCCCAGGATGTTGTCTCACTAACAAGGCAGTCCCCAATGTCGGGAACAACTTGACTTTACTTAGATTTACATTTACCTTTCCCATCCAGCGACCGTCTGGGTTCTCGCCCTTCGGCCTGTCGATATGGCTGGGTTCTCGCCCTTCGGCCTGTCGATATGGCGAAGAATTTACAGGATTTTATCAGCTTTGTTTTGTCGCTGTATAAAGTATTTCCAATAGATAGACACTTAGACCAATCAAAAGGCCCCCCTAGAGTTGATCTATGGAAAAGTATCAGAAAGTACTCATCTTTGGCGAGATTTTCAACTTTTCTTAGCTGAGAAAGCAAAATATTTCAGGAAAAGAAAAAACTTTTTTTTCTATGCTGCCCCCAGACTCTCGGCAGATAATTTTCTTTACTTTTCTGCTGTGTCTGTTGGAAGCACTGATAGTAGAAATAGATCGAATTTTTACCGTAGTTGACATGGTTTTTTTGTTTTTTATTGTCCCATAGCCTTATTTACAGGGAAACGTAGCTTTTTTGAGAGCATCCGAGCAAAGGAATGAATGGAAAATCATGATCGCCGATGTCTGTCGCAGATCTGGCACTGGATGGTGATGAGCCTTATTAAGTGCAGTTGTTGTGATATCCTTTCCAACTTTTTTAACTTGCGCCTGATTTTACCACACTGCCTCGCGTATGTTCACTGTGTCCTTATACTAACTATAGTGCTTTCGTCATCATGATCTTTTATACATGTTATCCCCCGGGGCGGTGCCACGGACTGAAGTGTCTTTAGGCCATTCCCAAAGGGGGGACCTTTCTCGTTCATGCACAGTAGAATTGTTAATGGGCTGATTCATCAATGTCACGCTCATAACTGTGCCTGGTCTACATCAGGGAACTGCTTCTTTTTCTTTCCTAATCCTTACTATTGTCGTTTTCCCTCTATTTCTTTTGTATGTTTGTCACACTCTTGTAACCTGCTATTTCCGGGGTGCCTTGATAGTCAAAGCAGACTTTGTGCTGTTGAAGCTAGAGAGGTGAGCAAAGTAAGTCTGATTCCCTTTATGGACTTCTCTGTTGGCATCCACCCCATGGTGCTCATATGACCATATGCAGTTGCAAACGCCGTAAAACCTCTACTAAAACCAGAACTTTGATACTTGTTTTCTACAAATGTTTTATACTCCCATGTCCTGATTTATTGGATTGTTGTTAAAGTTAACTTGTTCTTTCCAGGAACTGGTCATCTCTGCTTCTCCGGACAACACTATCCGCGTGTGGGGTATCCAGACCGCAACCTGTGGACAGATCATCCGCGCACACGACGCTCCAGTCACAGGCATCAGTCTCCACGCCACAGGAGACTACCTACTCTCCTGTTCAACAGACATGGTTGGTCTTCATTTTTTTGTGTGGGCATTTTACTCTTTGAAGACGCGTCCACGTTCCCTTTCTCGATACCCCGTGATGCACTTTCTTTGTACTTTTTTACCAGGTCACCTTTTTTTTCCTATCGATAGTTCAAAAATCACACTTACACCATTAAAAAGTACAATTTCTGAATTTTTCTCTTGTACCAGTCAATCATACATTCACAATAACAGTCTTACCTTGATCAAGGCTGCAAGATCACTATAGTTGCTCTCAAAAAAAAATTGTTTCGACAAGATGAGACTTTGGGGTCAGGTAAATCTAGATCTTCCAACCAATGGTACTGATTCATCATCTTTATCATCTGAACTTTCTTCTTCTAACTCTAAATCTAACTCCTCATCACTGCTTTCATCCATAAACGCTCTTTAAACTCGTGGAGAATGTGCACTATAGTCATTTGAAAATGTTTGAAGACTTGCTGTATAGACAAATGCTTTATTAGTCGTGCAGATTGGTTTTTTATATTCTTTTTTCTCTCGGTCTGAAACTCTAATCAATGGCAACTACATGCGTACCTTGAAAAATGAACATTCGCGTTTCTAATTTGTATCTAGTGGTTCGAAATGTGCAGCAACATCAGGGTTCCCGCGGCCTCCTTGAATTCAAAAAGAAAAATCTCCTTGAAAATTATTTGTATTTGAGGAACCTCCTTGAAAACTCCTTTGAATTTTGCCAGATCGGACTGGAGGAATCAAGTTTTTGAAGGAAAATCAAAACTATGATTTCTTTCGGACAAGTGTAGGCCTATCGTCATCATTGATATCTTGACCAAATCTCCTTGAATTTTAAAAATTTCTCCTTGAAACCTCCTTAAAATCTCCTTGAATTTTAAAAATTTCTTATTGAAACCTCCTTAAAATCTCCTTGGATTAAAAAAATTTCTCATTGAAACCTTAAAATCTCCTTGGATTTTAAAAAGTTCTCATTGAAGCCTCCTTAAAATCTCCTTGGATTTTAAAAATTTCTCATTGAAACCTCCTTAAAATCTCCTTGGATTTTAAAAATTTCTCCTTGAAACCTCCTTAAAATCTCCTTGAATTTGGTGTGGAGTTCACGGCAGGAACCCTGATGTATGTCACGAAGCGTTGGAATCAGGCTCGCGTCAGTTTTTGGGCAAGTGGAGTGAGTTATTGGTCGCGTCGCGCATAAGGATACATAGGCTCACTGTCGTGTGTTATCTCCTCAGCACTGGGCTTTCTCTGACATCAGGACCGGCCGAGTTCTCACTAAAGTATCGGAAAAGACAGGACAAATCAGTAAGTGTTTGGAGCATTCTCTTTCTTCCCGCCCACATTGGGGGCTCCAGTGGCTAAGTGAGTAGTGAGTTTTGACTCAAGCAATGTCAAGCAAGTGTCGGTGACACGGGGATCAGATGGGTGGTCACTGGAGTGTGTCCTTGAGCAAGACACGACAACCCTAGCTCAAATTACAGGGCGCTGCACCGTGGCGACCGACAGTGGCATTGTTTGTAAACTGTTCTGTATTTGTGTAATAGTGTGTATTTATGTGTGTATTTATGTATGTACGTATTTATAATAATGTATTTATGTATGTATGTTTGCCATTGTAAAACAAAGTGCCCTTCTGGGACAAATAAAAGTGTAATTTATTCTTATTATTTATTCTTATTCTTAAAAGAAAGTGGTGGCTCATAAAAGACAGTATGCAATTTCTATTTTTTTGACAACATTTTCGTTTTATTTAGAGCTAGCTTTTTGCTCTTTTTTCGGAACTATTCCCGAACCAAGTCTTCTAGTATTGACTAAGCCTTTGTTTCCACCGTTTAGAAGTTGGAGGCAAACTTTTGGGGTTGTTATAATGAGACGTAGTGCACCAGGTTTAGGTGACTGTAGAAAAAAACTCAGGGAAACTGTGGAGAAAACTCAGGGTTTAAAGAGTTAAGAAACAAGTTTTACTCTAAATTGTTTTGTCTGTTTGTTTCAGTGCCAGCGTTGACGTGCGCACAGTTCCATCCTGACGGCCTTATCTTTGGCACCGGGACGGATGATTCCATCATCAAAATCTGGGATCTGAAGGAAAGGGCCAATGTGGCCAACTTCCAGGGCCATCAAGGACCTATCACCAGCATCTCCTTCTCTGAAAATGGTGGGGGACTTTTTTGTTTTGGGTTCCTTGCTTATTGCAAGATTCTACTGTTTGGGAGCTGGCGCTCATATGACCTTATGCGGTTGCCAGCGCAGTAAAACCTATACTAAAACTAAAAACTCTTTGGGAGTGGGTGGTTGGCGGGTGCTGAGGTGTGGTTTGTTCCTTCTCTCCAATCACACATTTATCGTTTTTATTTGTCTCTCCTTCTTTTTTGTGTTTGTTACTCTCTAATTTTCGGCCTTTCTTAAATGACCTTTTTGTGTTGCAAGTGCTGTAAAACTTTTACTGAAACCCAAAAAAACTCTTACTAAAACAAAACTTTCGTGACAGGTTACTACCTGGCCACATCGGCGGAGGACTCGGTGGTGAAGCTGTGGGACTTGCGCAAGTTGAAGAACTTCAAGACGCTTGCGCTGGAGGACAACTACGAGGTGAAGGGGCTTTGCTTCGACCAGAGCGGAACGTACCTCGCCGTGGCAGGCTCCGATGTCAGGTAAATGTCTCTTCTTACGTTTAACTGCTCAGCAACTATTTGTTAGGCAGCTTTCCTATCAAATGATTATTATCCTCATTTTCTCCGCTCTTCTTTTCTTTGTTTGGTACTGTCTAGGAACACCTCTAATCTTTGACACCTGTATGATGCAATAAATTCCCTGAGTAGAAGAGAACAAGTCACGATATTTCGCCTGCGAACACAACACATACCACTAAATTCCTACCTTAATAGGATCTGCAAGGATACCCCACCCGACTGCCCGTTGTGCGACTGCCAGGATGAAACAGTACCACACCATCTCTTTAACTGCCCAGCACTTTGTGACCTGCGTAGCACCTACCTACCTGCCTGCCTCCCCAGACATCGGAAACTCTCTATACAGCGACAAAGCACAGCTGATTAAAACCTGTAAATTCTTTGCCATATCGACAGACCGAAGGGCTAGAACCCAAATGGCCGCTGGATCGGAAAAGTAAAGTAAAGTTGACACCTGTATGACCTTACTGTGTTACAAGTGCCGCTCTGTCCTGACCATCAATGATTTATTTATAGAGGCACCAGCCATCCATGTCCAGGTGGTGTTTTAGCCATGTGCCGCTCTGTCAACTCTTGCTGTTGTGTCATTGTTTCAGGAAGCGACATCCCTGCATTCCGGACATGTCCATTGATGCTCCGTTGCTCTCTCCGAAATGCCGCCGAGAGTCTTTCCGAGTCTTCTGATTGTGCCAGTGCACATCTGGTTGAACGTTCTTCTGTTCTTTCCTGCAAGGATGTCAGATTTTCCACTTCCTTTTTGTATTCCCAAAAGCATCATCCTCTCCGCGGCAGTACTGGCCTCTGCCTCCCTATCTTCCTCCTCAATCAGGTGGGGAGAGAGACATTTCAGGATCTCGACCCTGTCTGGGGAAAATAATGTTCTCTTGCCGGGAAACTCTTGCTAAAACTGTACCAAACTTTTTCTGTGGGTGGTTGGCGGGTGCTCTGGTGTGGTTTGCTTCTTCTTTCCTATCAAACATCTATCGTCCTTATCTCCCCTTCTTCTTTTTTTATGTTTGTTACTCTCTTGTAACAGCTCTAATCTTCTGGCGCTCATATGACCATATGCAGTTGCGAGCGCCGTAAAACCTCTACTAAAACTTTATAAACCTTTTCTCTTTCTCAGGGTGTTCCTATGTAAGCAGTGGAACGAGCTGGCTGTCTTCAACGACCACACAGCGGCCGCCACGGGCGTGCGGTTCGGCCACAATTCTTCCTTCCTGGCCTCCGTCAGCATGGACAGATCCGTCAAGTTCTTTGGTCTCTCCGAGTAGATGTGACTTTATTTAGTAGTAAGACGTTGGCTGAAGCATTGTATTTTTCTGGTGTTTAACCCTATCCGTACGCCCCGGGGTCATTTTGTACCCCGTGGTTGTGTTCTTAACATTTTAGAATACTTCTTGTATGAAGGTCTCTTTGAAACTTCCAATATTTCTAAAAAAATCATTTTTACAGACTGCTATTCAAAGCGTATGGATCGGATAAACAAGTTGATTTCCTCTTTGGAAAGTGGTGGCACAGAGGTCCCCATGTCGTATGGATACGATAGTAAAACACGACGTACGGATAGGGTTAAATGGTCGCACAGAATTCCCCACGTCGTATGGATACGATAGTAAAACACAACGTACGGATAGGGTTGAACAAAAAGAGGAGATTTATTTTTTAAAAGATGATGGGTAGAAGGAGTGCCAGGCATGTCCCAGAGGTGGTCAGATTTACTTTTCAAGTGATCTGCTTTCTTCCCTTTGTTAATGGGCGGTGCGCCTGATATAGACTGACAAGTACAGAGCTCCTTTTGAACTGTCAGACTGATGGAGCTGTTGCTTTGTGTTGGAGTTTGTTGGGGGGTTTTTTGTCCTCAGTTGATGGAAATAAACCTTACTAAACCTTGCTTAAAGGAAAAATTACCGTCTGTTGTTCCCCAGAAAGGCAGTCAGGAGACAACTGTGCTGATTGATAAAGCATCACCTGTTATAGTGCAACATAAGTTATGAACTTTTTTGGGTATGATTGGCAGATCTTGCTCGATAACGCACAGTAAAGACTGTTTGGCAACTTTTCATTGCGAAGGAAAATCGCTTCGTTGAGTCTTAACTTAAAAAAAAAAATAGATAAAGACATTCTCTTCATTGTTTTGTGTCCGTGTGCGTTAGAGTTCAGCTCATTCCTCCTTTTGTAAAGTATGTACTTGCTAGGCATTTTGCAACAACTGAAATCATTTCATTTTATGTTTCGAGTCCACTGTTTCTTTGTCAAGGTTTTTAGATGGCTGTTCATTAATTTCCTAGATAAGAATACTGGCTTTTGGGTCATGTGTAGTAGTTTGTGTACAATGGAATTCTATATTTTGTCTGTTCCAATAATTCAATATAATGGAATTCTATATTTTGTCTGTTCGAATAATTCAATATAATGGAATTCTATATTTTGTCTGTTCGGATAATTCAATGCAAGTAACTTTCAATAGTTCAAAATGACTTGTGACATTTTGTTGTTGTTGAAATAATGTTTAAGTGAATGTAAATTTATACACAGGCAGTTTGTGGAATGAGAAACATGTTTTTGCCTGTCGTTTTCTGATAGAAAACTGTTTCAATGAAATGTGAGCGTGCCTGGTGAAAGGTACCAAATGACGCCTTTGCTCGAACCGAGATATCAGGCTTCAAAGGTTCATGAGTAGCGAATGTGTTGTCAGGCCGTCTCAAAGCGTAGATCTATCTATTTGAAGCAGAAACAAAGGGAAACTTTAAAGCCGTTTTTATCAAAATTTTGTTTTTGTACCCTGCCTTACAAAATCTCCCATATCTCCAAAACTCAGAAGATATCTTAAAAATTCAAAAAGCATATTGTTCAGAAATGATCTCTGTACATGAAAATGCGAAAAACCGGGATTCTTCAAAATGTGTCATTTGGTACCTTTCACCAGGCACTCACACAAATGGCTGTCACAGGAGGAGGGGTTACTTTGCAAGTTTACTCCTGTGCTGGGTTTGCAACCCAAAGCTAGAAAAAATGGTCAATTTCCACCATTCAAAAAGTCAGAGAAGAGCCACTCTGCTATTGCTTTTTAGCCTCGTTTTCATCCATATCTAATCGGGACAGTCTGCCTAGACCTGATAGCAATGCATCAGGCGCGTGTTGGGCAACCCCTGGCGACTACAGTGGGTAAATGATTGAGGAGATAAAGAAGTCAAAGAGTATTTGGGAGCGTCGACTTGAGGTTTTGACTGTTGTTTTGTCGTGATTGTGAACTGGAAGTGTGGGGGAGAAGTTTTGTACAGTGTGTGTCATGTTATGAAAGGATCAATTGGTTGCTTTTAAGCACGTGGGGGCTATGCTGAAAAATGCTGTTTTGAGAAAAAATCGAAGGTAAAGTTTGTGCCGCTTGTTCAGTTTCTTTAAAAGACAAGGAGAGTTTTTTCTATAACCAAACAAATATACACACCAAGGAAACCACAAATATACACACCAATGAAACCAAACTTCTCCTATAGGTAGGGCAATGCCCACTTTTGGTGTAGGTCAAGGTTTCTGGAAACCCCCATAATCTGGGTTAGCCCGCTTGTCCTTAAAAGCGACGAATTGTATTTCTTCATGCCTTCCGTTCCACTTTGGTGATTTGCATTTTCTGAGGTCGTTATTCTTTAAATTGCTTGTATAGAATTTGTCAGTTTGAAGGCAGAATGCTTAACCTTACGCCAATCTCATGTCAAAGCATCTTGTTTCAAGGAGAGAGTATACAAAACTCTATTGGGGCTTCAAAACTTCAACCTTCTGCCTGTCATTTCAAGTTTTAGTTTTAGTAAAGGGTTTTACGGCACTTGCAACTCAAATAGGTCTTATATGTCCAGAAGATTAAAGGTGCTACTAGAGAATAACATATATAAAGACGGGACAAGGATGATAGAAGTTTGATGGGAAAGAAGGAGAAAACCATACCAGAGCAGCCACCAGCGTACCAGTTTGTATTCTTTTTTCATCCAGCACCAGCGTCTGGCTGGGAAAAGAAATGTAGATATATATGTCTGCTTACAAATTTTTAACTTTCAGAAGTTTTATGACAAGTTTGGATATGGTAACGGATGCCAAATCTCCTAGGGGGTTTTTGGGGGGGCTTTTTCCAGGGGGGATTTTTTCGTACACTTGCAGAGGAAAATCTGTCCCCGTCGTTTTATGCAAGAAAAATTATGAAATTATGCAAACTGAGCTTTTAAAAATGTGAAATTGTGCGATTCTGTTAATTTTAACAAAGAATGATAAAGGAAAATAATTGGTAATTATGCAAAAAATGATCAAATTTTGCCAAATTATGCGGGGTGCATAAAACCTCGGGGACAAGAAAATGGAAAGGTAAGAGAGATGTTTTTGTTTGCTCATTTAAAAAACTTTACAAGGTTCGTTTTTTTAGGCGAGATGTGATGCTCTGCTCATTTTCAAGTGTTGTTTTTTTTGTTTGTTTTTTCAAAAAGCGTTTGGCTTCCCTGGGATAAGAATAAGTTGTGCCCTCATCAGTTACTCTGTTTTGGGGGGTAGTTTGACAGTGGGTACACTGCCCATTTGTAAGAGTAAGAGGATTTTCAAGGAAAAGGTGAAATGTTCGCAAACGGTTCAAGTTCTTGCATGCCGGATCTTAAACTTCTCTTCTTCGGGTATAGACCCGTTTCCTTGGGTTTGTTTCTATTTTGAAAGTTGTATTGAAGAAATTCTACAATTTGTTACTTTTTTCAAAGAAGTGTTATTTTTTGTTTGTGTATGTGTTCAATGTTCATCTATGAAACCTTGATGAGATATATATCTTTGATTGTTCGCTACATCCCTTTTTTATTGACGTTCGTTTTATTTTTCGCTGTTCCATCTTTATATTAAAACATCCTGACATGAATCATTAAATGCATTTTACCAGCAATGAACAATCAAGCGTTTTTTTTTGTGTGTTTTCTATACAGAGACAGGTGGTATTTACTTATAAGAAAGATGTTCATGTCACAAGTTTCATACTCGAAACAGACGTGTAAAATTTTGACTCCCAACTAAAAAAAAATGTCCGCCCCAGCCGGTCATTTCCGACCAAATGTCTCCAGCCAGCAAAAATTTTCATGCGGAATTTTCTATTTTGGCAAACATGAATCTGTGGCATAGAATTTAGGCACTTCCCTGACGTGTGCAGGAGACCCGAGTTTGATTCTGATTCTTGTGTGGGGAGAATTTTTATTGAGTATCTCGCTCTTTTTGTTGGGTTTGTTGTATCCTTTTCAGTTTCTGTTCAGCCCAGGTTGGCCCTGGGCTCCTGGGTCAAAGCCCATCTCTTAAATTTAAATGACCTAAATTGTGTTGATGGGGGGATAATAAAACACCTACATTTGAAAAGAAATATTTTTAAATTCCTTTAAGCAATATATGACATAATATACAGTTAATACTGGCAAAAATTTTCCTCCTGTCATTTCACAACAAATCTTAATAAAACTGGTTCACTTTTTTTCCAAGCACTTCACTAAGTGATTGCTTTGAATTGATGGATCATAACTGATGTGCTTCTTACTTAACAGTCACACACAGACACTCAGAAAAAGCTGTTAAAATAAAATAGACGAAGAAAAAAAATTTTTTTACGAAGAAATGAGATGAGCATTACTCGTACTTTTATTCAAAAACGAGATCAACTTAATCACCACAGCCTGAGCACATAGGAGAGCGCATAAAAGTAGCAAATACTTGTGACATCATCGTCACTCCCCTTCACAAAACACAAATGATGTATATATATATATATATATAGAAACACAAAATTATGTTTGGTCATCCATTAGGCATACAATCCATACATGATACAGTCTTACCTGTTCTAATTCTAGTGGACCATCTGCTCCAAGTCAATCAATCACCTCTTCAAATGACCACTCCTCCCCGCCCCTGTTTAAAGGGTTGTTGTTTTTTTTGTTAGGTTTTTTTTTTCCCCATCATAATGACAAAGTCCAAGGTGACCGATTTTCTCCTCGACAGCTGGTGGTTGTCTTGGACAGGTTCGGCGGTACAGAATAAATGTTTGTGAGGCGTCGTGGTGAAATCAGGGGCTCGTCAAAAAAAAGAAATCAAAGAAATTTGCATTTTTCTGTCCGTTGGGCAATTTATTTTAAAATATTTTTTTTGCTCGCAACACCTATGTTCATTAAAAAAAACAGATTTCTGTGCAGATTTTACTGAAAAACATTGATTAAACACATAAAAACCGGTAATTTTCATCTTCTAAGGACTCCCAAGCTATGGGAATTACGAAACTTTGACGGCCATTTTCTTGCTAATTTTACCTCTGAAACCAGACAACCATCACTTCTTTCAACAGCAAATATCTCGATTTCTACTCAACATAGATTTGAAATTTTTTTAACCAAACGCAAGATAAATGAACAGTGCTT